GATGTCACCTAACCCACCCTAAAGTGCCTTGTATATATAGTGCTTCAGCTTCTTTCGTGTCTCTTTTGCTTTCCTTCTCCACTCCCCTCCTCCCATCTTGCCATATTTATGCCGTAGCTACACCCCCTTGTATTAGTTACCCCCCCACGACCCCCCACCCCTTGTATATACTTGTTCTTACTTACATTTCGAATATTTCATTAATTTAAAATGACATTCCCCCATAAAAATACAAAACTAAATACAAAAAGCTCCCCAGGCAATAAAATACCTTCAGATTTCTTTTTTTCAAAGCCAATTGGATCTCTCAATCAAATCTCGGTCGTTCTTGGCGATCTTTTTTCTAAATTTAGATCTACTTCTCATCTACACAGCAGGTCTAAGAAAGTAGCTTGAGCCAGCTTTGAGTCAGCTAAAAGCCGAGCCGAGCCACTTAAGGAAATTTAGCTGGCTTACATCAGCCGGCTCTCGGCTAGCTGAGCCGCGGCAACACTAGTGCTGGGCAGAAATGAAATACCAAAATATGGCAATGAAAAATAGTCCTGGGCAGAAATGAAATACGAAAAATATTGCAATGAAAAATAGTGCTAGGCAAAAATGAAATACCAAAATATTGCAATGAAAAATAGTGCTAGGCAGAAATGAAATATCAAAAATATTGCAATGAAAAATAGTGCTAGGCAGAAATGAAATACCAAAATATTGCAATGAAAAATAGTGCTGGGCAGAAATGAAATAAAGTGGGGGAAAAAAATCAAATGAAATCCTGGGGAGGAATGAAATAGAAATGAAATTGCAATGATATAAAGCCTTGGGAAGAAATGAGATGCATTTCATAAGGTTTGCCTTATGTATTTCATTTCATAAAAAGCTAGGCAATGATCAAATTGCTGTGCAGGCAATTGACTGTAGTTTATCATAAAAAGTGGTAGGGACTAGTGATCCGAGGTCTTGATGTCTGTGGAATGGACAGTAACATCTTCCTCCAGTTCTTCTTGCCAGGCCTCCATTTCCTCAGGCCAGAGTTTTTCTGGGGTGGGTTCCATATCATCATCCTCTTGTTCTGAATCATTACCAGAATCGTCTTCTGCAGCACCCCTTTCTGTTGATTCAGATTCAGGGATGGAGGGTCCAATGGAGACATGCCGACTGACTGAACCATCGTTGTCTGAAATGGTGTGTATCTCCCTCAACAATTTGCACAGATCCATCAGACTCTACAGATGATATGCTTCGGTCAGAGACTCAACGGACTCATGGTATGGTAGAACTGGACATTCCGATGGAAAGAAATGCATCCAGTGTTGTTTGATCATTGAATGACTTGGAATAGCGTTGTCTTGTGTGCAGAGACTTGCTCATGACATCTGGCCCTTTAATATATTGTTTGGACCAGACTGAATGATTCTTGGGTGAGCATCTGATGGAGTTTTATAATCAGATTATGGACTACTCACCTTTCTTTGGCCTCAATTTATAGGGAATCCAGTCGAGATCCTTCTGATCTCCATTGATCTCACAAGATAGTGCCGCCAACTTTTTTCCAAGCACCTCACTCATTAAACCTTTCCACTCATCATCAGACTCAAAGTCAGAGTTCATGTCATCCTCCTTCTCACTACTGGCATTGTCCTTCACATCTAGGTGATTCCGATCATTGGCATATCCACTATCCACATCCTCAACAGATTGATCTACTTGCTCTGCCACCTCAGAAATGGATTCAAGTAGCTCAGCAGTGTGGGGAGCTTGATTCCAGAGACCACTTATATTTCTTTTCTTCTTCACTGGGCGTCCATGACCCATTTTGTGACTTTTTTTGTGAGGGAATGGCCTGCTTGAATTTTACAACACTTCAGGCACAAACTCTATTTATTGAAAGCTATTCAAAAATGAATTTTCCGAGATTTTATCTATTTTATTTCAAAGTGCCAATATTTTTGGCCACTTTTTTGTTGAAAGTCCAGCTACGAAAATTCTGCTCATACAAATCAGTTAATCAGGTCCAGTTGTCTATACTAAAAGGGTTTTTTTGAGGTTTGTGTAGGGGTGGTGTCTTCCAAAATTGGGCGATTAAATTGGATGCCTTTGTTTGTCTGCAACTGTAGAGGTCCTTGACACCTCCAATTATGAGCCATTCACTGTCAGGTAAAACCAGAAATGCAATGACCACAGGATGTAGATCACAGAAAGTATACATACCTCCAGGATGAGAGAACAATCATAAAGTGTGAGTTGTAGAGGTAAGTGCCACTGTTGAGACGTCGTGGTTGACACACGGAAAGTAGTAGTAGTGGAGAATAATCACCAGAGGTAATCATAGAAGTACACACCACTCGATGAGACATTGTGCTTGACACACAGAAAGTAGTAGTAGTGGAGAATAATCACCAGAGGTAATCATAGAAGTACACACCACTAGGGACTAGCATGGTTTCAGTAATACCACAGATTTTACCAGACTTTAGTTACTGGTAACATTCGGTATGGAACTGTGGAATTTATGGAAATCCATGGTTTTCCGGAACTGCCAAGCCGACTAAAGGAGTTTAATAGGGTTACAAAGCATGACTAGTCCAAATAAATAATTGTATACAAATTTATTAAGGATCAAGATGCACTTCATCGTTTCGCCTGTCCTCAGCTTTGCTTGCATCATATTTAAGAAAATTCAAGGTCATAATGACTCCAGATACTGCAAAGTATAAAGCCAAATCCATTTGGCATTTTTGTACCTGCTGTAAATTGAAAACCAGCTCTGCTCCATGGGGTTTGAGTTTTTGGCTTGAGGGACAAGCCAGGCCTGCACAAAGCTTGGGGCCTAGGCCTAATTTGAATAATAAAAATAAGGGTAAAAGATGTCTAAATGACAATCAAGAGTCTATCATTTCTCCAGAACAGAAAAACAGTATAAAGTACAGGGGGGCAACACAATATTTTAGCTGTGAAGTCAGGAATGCTCAAAAGGCTTGGTAGTACCGGTAACCACAGTAACTGTGCCATACCATATTTGGTAAAACCATGCTAATCCCTACACACCACTCCAAGGATGGTGGAATTATTATGGCCAACACACAGAAAGTAGAAGTAGCAGAGAACAACAACAAGAAATGATCATAGAAGTCAAGACATCATGTTCGACACACAGAAAGTAGTAGTAGTGGAGAACAACCACCAGAGGTGATCATAGAAGTATGAGCCACTCCCAAGATGGTCAAGTCATCATGCTTGACAACACAGAAAGTAGTAGTGATAGAAGGGAACAAATATCAGAGGCAAATCATAGAAGTACACGCCACTCCCAAGACGGTCAAGTCATTGTGCTCGACAACACAGAAAGTAGTAGTAGTAGTAGAGAACAAATGCCAGAAGCAATTGTAGAAGTATGCGCAACTCCCAGGACGGTCGAGTCATCATGCTTGACACACAGAAAGTAGTAGTAGTTGAGAACGACCACCAGAGGTGATTGTAGAAGTATGCGCCACTCCCAAGACAGTCAAGTTTTAACAAAGGGACAGAGTGTCCAAGGTAACACATACATTGTACAAATACCCCAATCATGACAATCACGAAAAGTACTAGAAAACATCTCCACACACGAAGCGCAAAGGAAATGTGTAAAAGGAGACAAGAAAGTGGATGGGGAAGATATGGAAGTGGTGACTCACCTTAGCTGGTTATGCCTCAAGCTTCTATGGGAAGGTTAGTGGTCCTGACAAGAGAGCAAGATACCAAACTCACAAACAACCAGATGTTGAACTTGTGGTGACCACTGGAAATGAATCACCAATGAAATATTGGCAAGACACCAAACTCAAGAACAATAAGACATTGAACTCATGGACAGGTAACACACATGCATGCAAATACCCCAAGGCCACAAGAGAGAACCGGATTCATGCACAAAACACAAAGAATCTGCATAAAGGCAAGTAGAAGGGGTAGGGCTTGAAAGTCCGGTCCAGTCTGGTTTTTTGGCCCAAAACAAAAAGACCGAGACCAAGACCGGTCCACACAATTCCTAAAACCTCAAAAGACCGGACCAGGACTGGAAAAGACCAAGACTGCAGTCTTTTTCAGTCTTTGGACCGGTCTTGGTCCAAACTGGTTACAACCAGTTCAAGACCGGTTTTTCAACGTAATATGCAATAGATATTGCAATTGTGAGTCGGTAAATTTATTAACATTCTTCGTAGCTTCTAAACGAGTGCAAGAACGTTAAATTACGTTAAGAATTGATGTATATACAAAAATACTAAGGTACATCTGCTATTTTCATGAAATATTTTACAGTTTTGTATGTATCTTTGTCAGTTTTTGTCCTAAAAATATGATATTAGGTGCATTTTGAAGGGTTATTTTGTACCTACAAAAGACCGGTCTTAACCGACAAGACTGGTCCATGTCAACCGGTTTTTTTGCGGTCTTGTGATCTCAAATCTGAAAGACCAAGACTGCAGGTCTGGTCTTTTGCAGTCTTGGTCCGGTCCAGTTGCAGTCTTTTTGCAGTCTTGAGACTGGACTTCCAAGCACTAAGAAGGGGGAAGTAAGAAAGTATGGAATGCACCAGGATCACCGAAGTATGTGCTGAGCAGCATGACTGTCTTCATTGAACTTCGAGACACAGAAAACTGCAAGATCGCTCTCGTTCCGTGTAGGTCTTGCAAGTTGCTATTGGCCTTGCTTGGTGTGAATTCATGGCAGAAGGATGCAGTGGGCAAAGCTCAAAACTTTCATCCTTAGCTAAGTGAGGAATTCACAAAGCATCAAGAGCAAGATCCTGACATGCGGAGTGATGAGAAGAGCTTTGAGCTCGTTGTCACTCATGTTGGGCATGCTTGTTTGTACTTGTCTAAAACCAAGTACACCAGCAGTCAGGATCTTGTTCTGCTGCTTCCGTTATCTTATCCTTAGATGTGCTTGCCCTCGTGCCTTGGACTTGCACATTGCAGACTTTTACAGTTCAACTCTGTATTTCCCCCATTGATATTATGTAAGCTGGCCAAATCAGGTTTGTGAACATTTATATCTCCCTCAATTTTGAATATTTTGCCAAATGGTCTAACAGTTGAGGACATTCTGTATTTCGAGAGTCCGAACTGCCACCAATCCACCAATCCACCTGTCCACCCAAGGCAGCATTGTCACATGTACATCTTTTGGTATTTAGTGCCAGAATAAAATCTACTTGTGGAGAACTATCACAACTGTTGGCGACCACATCAGTAGAATCACATGCTCTTTCACTTTCACTTTTGGCCTCTTTCACTTTCACATAGTGTTTGATAGTTCAGTTCAGTCCAGTTTTTTGCCCTGAAAACGCGCAATCGTGGACCACAACCGGTCCAGGACCGACCCAGATATTGAGGGAACTGAACCGAACCACCTAGGACCGGTCTTTTGCGGTCCATGATACCAGTCCAGACCGATCCAGACCAGTTTTTTTGCATATAATTTATTATACCAATATAAACCATTTGTATCTCAACCACTATTACTCTGAAAAATAAACAGGTTATATAAAATAGTAAAGCATATAAATACCCGTCATTCTACCAATTTTCAAGAGATTTAATGAAGATTTGACATAGCTATGACTGAAACTGAATTACATCTCCTAGAGACTCAGGTAAAATATGGATTTGGTTATATCTTTCTCAATTCTTAACCGTTTTTGATGAAACAAAAACCCAATAAAAAGCAATAAACGTGGTTACAAGGCTATGTAATGCACGTGACCGTTTAACCGGTTGCAACCGATTAAAACCGGTCTTTGAATGGTTTTAAAAGATTTTCAAAATGAGGCAACTGGCAACTGGACCAACCCCAAATTGGGGCAACTGCAACCGAAAAAAAGACCAGACCATGGTCTGGTTCAGTTCGGTCCACTGGTTTTTTGCGGTCATATGGACTGAACCTTTAAACACTACTTTCACAAGCACTTTTACTTTCTCTTTTGGCCTCTTTCACTTTCATGACGCTTTCATTTCCACTTTGAGACCTCTTTGTGATAGCTTTCTGGCTTTCAACAGCTTTCACCTCTTTAGGAATTTAGACAGTGGATCAACATATATGTTAGAAGGCTATTTCGTGTGCATGATGATCTACATACTTATTAACGTAGAAAGAGGGAGGAATCTAAGGATTTTGAAAAGTCAAAATTGTGCCTGTGATGGTCAAATGTCCTCCTCGGCTTTATCAATGCCTAAGTAATAACCCTCATTCCAACACTCCTGGTGTCTCTCCTATGCCCTTGTCCGCATCCAAAAAGCCCTGAGAGCCACCAAACACAAGAGGGTGGGTTATGCCCTATGAGAGGCAGCATGGTGCAAATGACCCTGCCTGCTAGCGATGTGGTGGTCCCAGCCATCATGGGGTTGAGCCAAGGGGCTCCCACCGGCGAAGTCCGAAACCCTCAACCCGGGTGGGTCGGCTCCTCTGATGTCCAAATTGGGCGCACTCAGGGCTCCCGCATAACAGGAAGGATGGCCCAGATCAAACATGGTTTCTCACGTAGATACATTGATAGATTTTGATAGATAACAATTCTCAATCCTTACACCCCACTTACACCTCTCTCCCTTGCTTGAAAATGCCGCACACACCAAAGATCTATAATGCTACACTCAAAGAGCCTGCAGAAAGTGTGGAGTTTCATCTTGAAACAGGTGAATCAAAGAACTACGGTGTATATCAAGAGGTTGGAACTGCAAAACACCTTGTCAGGTGTGATATTTGTGGGTTATTCCTTCCTCTCAAGGGCAGATCTGCCATATTACTGCAACAACATTGTGGAAAGGGATGGT